CCCCGCCGCTTTTTGCCTCCACGACTGATGCGAAGCGGAGCGCAGGAGAAGGGCTGAAACTTCGGGATCCCGACGATCTCCGGCCCTTCAGAGGGTGGGTTGCGTGTGCTTGCCGAGTGGGAAGGTAAAAGGAAGGAAGGAAGCAAGCAAGGAAGGAAGGAAAGAGCTCCGAGCTGCGGCTGAAAACACAAGTTTAACTCAAGAGACCTTTGCAAACATTCCGTAGCAAACAGGACAGAAGCCCCCGAAGTAATGCATAGACATCTCCCCCCGCCCGCCTCGCTTTTATTTTTACTTCCCGGGATGCTTTCAGACCCTTAGCAAGCAGAAACACTCTTTCCCCTCCATTCCCCCTGCTCCTTCCCGCCCCACAAATAAGTCAAGGAGATTCAGTCTGGTTTTACCACCTTTATTATCTACTTGCAAAGGCCAAGTTTCCGGCGCGGATTTTGCCCCTGAAGCAAACATGCCTCAGTTATTGAAAGCTAATTACCCATTTATTGGACTTCTTGTGCTGATGTTTGATCTTCAGACAGGCTTAGAAGTGGGTGCGCGTGAAGGTGGAGAGAATGCACACCGGGGTCGTGCAAATCCAGATCTCTGCTTGAAATACAAACACATACAAAGCAAAGCAAGGAACTAGGCACGTCTTCCCACGCACAGCTTTGTGAGAGAAGGGCTGCAGTTCCTAGTTAGTTCATGATTGATCGGTCTCTTAACGCTCCTTGCTAGATTTGCGCGTTCACATTGGTCTGTTGGGGTTCCATTTGCTGAAATGGACTCACCCCCCCCCCCCATGTATGAGTAGATGGGGCGCGCACATGCACGACGGCCTCTGTGCCCAAAGAAATTCGCACCCACTTCCATGTATGTCCGTGTGTGTACACACAGCGCACACAATCCACCAACACAATATGAGCCCTCCCCGCCATGCACACGTTCCTGGGCAGCATAACCGACTCCTTCCCAGGTTCCAGCAGAATTCAGGTCGTGAGTGAAACGGGCTGGCGCCAGAGCCTCGCCACGCCACGGCCTCACCTCAACATCTTGGGTGGCCACTGGGCATCCTTCTTTTTCCAATATCGACCCAGGTTTGCACAGTGGCAAAAGGAGGGGAGGGGGGAAACCTTTTCATACTACCAAAAAAAATAAGCAGACATCTGCTACATGCACCTTTATCGTCTTGTTCTAACCACCTCGCAGTGCCCAGTGATAGGATGTTAGCCTGGAGGAACAGAAGCGGATCACACACAGAGGGAAATTCACTGACACTGGAACGTACAATGCGCTGAAATGCAGCCATGTAGTCTGGCCGCCTTCGGCATGCACGCCCTGAATGTCGGAACACGCACACTTGACTCTTGGTCAGTATCCCTGCCCGCGTTCGCCTGAGAAGGCCACCTTTCTGGGGTGGGGGTGGGGGTGGGGTGGGGGGGAGACGAAAAATGTGATGTCACCGGTTCCTTGATGAACTGCCTGGGCGTCATTAGGCAAGCAAATATGTTCAGCATGAGCCAAGCCCGTTGCTCCTTTGGTCGCCAAGAAAGGGCGATCGTGGCGAGTTAGGGGCCCGCTTCGTAGGGGGCGGCTGGGGCTCCTGGTCCCTTTCTGAAGGCGAACGCGGCCCCCGAGCATTTGGACTTCATCTGGGAGTCACGTTCATTTGCAAAGGGCCCTTTCAGCGCAGCTCCCCTGCGCGCTCCCCGGCTCTCATCTTCCTTTCCTCCCCCGCCCCCGCCGCCCCGAGCCCACGGATTCCCCGCTCCTCTTGGAAGACAGAGTGGCTGCTGCCAGGATTTCGCAGTTCTGTCCCGGGAAGGCGGGAAGGCTGAGTCGTGAACTTCACTGGCTTGCGGTGGGCCCCCAAGGAAGGGACCGGCGGCCAAAGCAGCAGCCCGGAATTGCAGGGGACCCGAGGAGGCTCGGGGCTTGACCCCCAGGGCAACGGGCAGCTTTTCGAGGTGGAAAGGGTGGAGAGGCCTTGGCCAGATGTACGTGGCAAAATGGCTTCTTCTGTTCTCAGAAGACTCTTAAGCAAGAACCAAAGCGGGTTTTTAAAAAAACGTATTTTTATTAAAAACATCTTCTACCTAGATCTCCTATTATATATGATGGGGTGTGTGTGTGTGTGTGTGTTTGGCTGAACACATTTAAATAAAATAATGCCAATGCCTAAAAAGATGCATTTTGTTCGCGCTTCGGTTTGCAATGAGCAATTTCTCTAAATAGTTACAAAAGCAATTTTCTACTGACAGTTTTGGCCCTAGAGCTGGAGTTACAGTGGTTTGGTTTTTGTTCCCCTCCCCACATCCCAGACACAGGTCGACTTACCATTTATGAGTAGATGGGAAGGGGTCTCCCGTTTAGGTCATAAGATTTTACTAGCATTTTAGCACTAACTCGTCAGACTCCACTGCCACCCAGGCCGAATATCATTTTTGCTCACAACCTTAACCTCGAGGAACACTTGCTTAGGGTTTCTTCCTTTCTTTGTCTCCGAAAGTCACTAAAAAGACACAAACTTCTGTCCCTTTCTCTTCGGATTCCACATGCTCCCCCTGAGCGTAAGAAAAACACAACCCTCACCAGATCATCCCCTGTTGTGGAGTTTGGGGTTTCGTTTTGTTCTTGAAAGACCAAAGGACCCTCGTGACTTTACAGAGTTTATTGCATTATACATGCGAATTAGGACATGCACAAAGAAGACATATTGCTTGTTACGATTCCACTACGATTCCACGTATGCACCACAAGGGGAAAAATGTGTACAGTTGAGGATGAAAGATTCCATTGCACGCAGAACAAGGCTGACGCACCCAGGAGAGGGGATAATTACATCATAAAATATGCTTTCTTTATTTCTTTTTAAAAAATGCTTCCCCACCTCACCAAATGTTTCTTTTTTTTTCTTTTTCTTCTTCTTTTTTTAAATTCTTAAAGTATTTTATATATTCCAAATGTTATGGCCCGTGTAATAGCCCCCACATAAATACCACGTGGTTAGTTAAAAACATGGAAAAAGTCACATTGTCTGGATGTTCGACAGCTCCAATAAGTTAAGACCAAACGATCATATTCAATTAGAGTTTACCCTGCATTACGATGAGGAAAAAAATAATAAATTACACGTGCTAGACTTTTTTTAATATATATATGCGTGTGTGTGTGTGTGTGTGTCTGTGTGTGTGTATATACTCATCATAGGAACATACAAGACATTTGCAGCACTAAAAAGAATGACAAAAGGTCACATTCTATCAGAAATTAAAAAAATGGAAAGTGAAGGGGTGTTCTTGCCTTTCCCCTGCCCCCACCCCCAAAGTCTCTCCTACGTACACAGCAACTGGTAGCAACTGAGCCTACGTCTCAGTTACGGGGGCCAACCCGCAGGTTAACCGGTTTACGAGAAGGTCAGGTTAGCGGTCAGTTCTCGGATTCGGTTCTCCCTGCTCATCTTCTTGAGCTTCATTCTGCGGTTTTGAAACCATATCTTGACCTGCCTGTCAGTGAGGTTTACGCTCTTACTGATCTCTAGGCGGCGCTCTCGAGTGAGATACATATTGAATAAGAACTCTTTCTCTAATTCCAGTGTTTGATGTTTAGTATATGGACACCTCTTCTTTCTGCCACTCTTTGCAGTTAACCAATTGCTGGTTGGAGTATCAGACTTGATTTCCTCTAGCAAAATCAAAGGAGAAGAAAGGAAAGAAGGAAGGCAGGAAGGCAGGCAGGAAGGAGAGGAGGAGGAAGACAAAAACAAAATAAAAGAAAGGAAAAACACCTCAGTCTGTTATAGTGCAGCCTTGGCCATGAACTCACCTCCATTGTGTCTGGCAGATATGGTGACTTGTGGGTATTAAACATTGCTAAAGAGAGGTGTGCACACTGAAGCGGGGCGGGTTGCTTCCTCCTTTTTGATGGGTTCCAAATTCAAATTAAACAATGCCAAGCCACACTGCAGCCCATTCTACGGATTCCTTCTGTGGTATTTCGATACAGTATCTCCAGGCATTCTTTGCATGAATATGAAGGTTCCAACTAGCCTATGGCATTTGGGACTTTGTTTCAATCCTGCCATCTTTCCAGTGGTCACATTTGACTGGATGTGGATTTTACAAACCAACCCAAGCCTTTTAAAACAACTTGCTCAGCAAATACCACACTTGGAAACAGCATTATCCTCCTGCATTTTGAAGGGGATTAATCTACATCACTCGTGCCATTAAACAGCCAGGAAAACAAAGACGGCCTTTTTACCCTCAACTCACACCAAGATTTGAAAAAAAGAAAGAAGGAAAGAAAGAAGGAAAGAAAGGTGGGCGCATATCTCACAACACAACACTTTTCATTCCCCCTTTAGGATTTTTACGCATTAAAGGCACATTTTGACCTAGACTTAATCATGATCTCCTGCAATTATGCTACACTTAGTATATGCACAATTTAGCTCAAATTTACACCAAAGGAAGCAAGCTTAATTTTTACTAAAGGCAGGTTTCCAGATTTTTCTGGGAGGTTTTATTTGTTTGTTTTACTATTCCAGCATCTCAGTCCCTCTCAAACGAAGCCCCTTTGCAACCCCATTCCTTTTAAAGGACAATGAAACAAACATTCACACACACCCTTCAGTTATTTCATAGCAACCTCCAAATCGTAGCAAACCTTTGGGGACTTAATCTACGTTTTCTAAGGTACCCAATCCCCATTTTAGATTCCTGGCTGTATCAGTGAGAGGCCCGTTTCTCATTGCCCATCTCCTTCTAAGTTTATATGGCTCTGCGGCACATCCTCAAAAAAATAATAATAATAATCGTGAAGCCAAATAAAAATAAACCAAACTTCTTGCGATCACTGGGCTTGGGGATCAGTGGATTTAGGCACAGAGAGGAGCCGCAGGCTCCGTTTGATCCCACTGCGAGGGAAGGGGAGTGGGGCTGGCTGGAGCCGGGCTCTCCCTGACTGAAAGGGAGCGCTGGGCAGCCTGGCATGGGGGGCGGAAAGCACCTCCTGCACGCAGCGAGCTTGGGACCCCCGCGCGGGCGGGGGAGAGGCGGATTCGGTGGACCTGGCGGCCAGCTCGCAGCCCTCCAGCTCGTGCCCCGGCGAGAGCCGAGCACCTGCGCGCCGAAGGGGGGAAGCAGGCAGGAGGGGCGGGCGCGGGAGCCCTGTGGCTGAGCAGCGATGGCTGCGCCTGAGCACGAGCCGGGGCTGACGGGGCTGGCGTGCCCAGGCGAGCCTGCCGCCACGTCCGGGGCTCCTGCCCCGTAAGATACCGACCTTTGCTCTCTTTCTCTTGGGTCTCTGGGCTGGACACGGCCGCCTCCGCCAGGCAGCCCCGCTCGTCTTGCAGAGTGGACTTGGCGTCGGGACTTTCCACTTGAGAGACTTTGGCGGAGTTGTCTGCGGGGTGGTGGTGGTGGTGGTGGGTGCTGCCGCTGCTGCTGCCGCTGCCGCTGCTGGTGCTGCCGCTGCTGGTGCTGCCGTTGGGATTTTCACTCATTTTCTTCTCCATCGGAAGTTGGGAAGCGATCTGCGGTTTGGCAGCGCCGCGAGGGTTTAACTGTAACATGACTGTTGAACTCGACTCGGGGCTGTTATTGTACTCTTGGGCTTTCCCCGTGGCGTAGGTCTGGCTCAGTCTGAAATAGCCTGGGACGGGCACCTCGGGGTTTTCAATGGGGCACGAGTCAGAGACCAGCCTCTGGTAGGAAGGAACGTCGGAAGAAGACACGAGCTTGGACCTCTTATCGGAATACATGCAGCAGTTGGTTTCCTCCTTAATATTTGTCGTAAAGGAGCAGGTGGGGACCTGCTGGCTAACAGGTTGCTCTATTCGGCACGACCTGTTCGCCTCGGTCCAATTGTCTACTTGAGGTATATAAGGATGAACGTTCATACCCATGCTTTGATGGTTCACTTCTCTTTTTGCCAGGGACGGCAGCAGTCCGCACGTCTGCATCCCGTACGTCCCAATCTCTGTGCTGGGAGGCATGTACATGCTGGCGCTGTTGGAATAAAAGCTATCGCTCCTGCAGGCACTGATCAAGGAATCGACTAAAAAAGTATTAGCGGCAGGAGAGCTGTTGGGAAAGGACATTTTGGGGAGGAATTTGCGGAAGAGAGATTGTGTCCTTTGTAGGCTGACATCTCTACGAAAACATTCCCCGTGTAATCGTGGGTGCCTCGGCAGGACCACATGACGGCGGAGCCAATGGGGTTTGAAAATGGCCTTGAGCCGCTGCCTCCCGCCGGTCACGTGCTCGCCGGCGCGCTCCGGCCGCGGCGCAAAGCGGGCCAACAGCGCCCCCTAGGACGCCCCGCGGGAAGTGCGCGCGCCGCCGCCGAGGCGGCGGCGGCGGCGGCGGCGGCGGCGAGCCCGAGAGCCACCTTCGCTTCGCTTCCCTTCCCTTCCTTCCCTTCCCTTCCCTTCCCTTCCCTTCCCTTCCCTTCCCTTCCCTTCCCTTCCCCTTTTCCCTCCCCTCGCCAAAGCCAGCCTTGGCGCACTGCGCTGCCTGAAAACAAGGAAATGCTCTGAATTAACCCGCGCCCCCCAACGCCCCCCCCGCCCCTCGCCCTTAGCCCCGTCCTAAAAGGAAAATCGCAGGAACACCGCAAGCGAGTCACTGTCCGAGTTCAGCCTGGTCTGGAAAGCCGCGCCTGATCTTTTGCGCCAAAAATATCAGACAGGTACTCCAGCAAGAATCTCGCTGGGCTAAACAGGGGGAAGGGACGGCGGAAGGGGGGCACGGAAGCATGCGAGCATGCGGTGCAATATGGGGCGTTCTTCTCACCCCCCCCCCCCGCCTGTAAATATCGATAATCACGATCATAATGATCATAAAAAAGCCTTTCTTCCACCAACTGCAAGATCGGCCAGCATCCTCTCCAGTTCCATTAATTGGCGGCCACTGTGTCCTCAGAGCAACAATCCCTAAAGCTCCGCGCAGGAAAACGCGTCCTTCTCTTCCCCCACTTCCTCCTTTCGCATCCTAATCAAACTCATTTTAAAGAAACAGCATCCAATAAGAGTCCCCCAAAGTTTTTTCGTGGGGGACACACATCTGATTGTGCCTGAAGGATAGGTGATCTCCGAAAGTGTCATAATTTGGGGAGGATACAATGGGGAGGGGGGAATAATGTTTTCCTTTTATGGATTTTGTAAAAGCATTGGTTCCTGACAAGCGCAAGGTACAAAAGGTTGTGGAATTTATTAATACAGATTAAGAAGAATCAGGGCGATCAATAAAATTCTCATCTACATTCTTGGGCCACTTGGTAATTTTCTTGCTTCTGAAGCTTTTTCAAGAGTTATTCCCTCTGTTGCCACACACGAGAAGATATTTTATTAACAAATCAATCGAGACTTTGTAAAGGATAAGATTAATAGTTAAGATTTAGCATAATGGTGTTCGCGTTATGAATTATTGAAAATTATACTATTGATTTTTTCTCTTCACTACTAACCAAGAAGGTCAATTTTTGTTTTAATACAAATCGTCAAATATTAAAATCTAGACTTTGTCATAAGTTTAGTTTTATTGTTACACTAGATTCCTGCTCCCAAATTTTCCACAGCCCTTTCTCTTACTAAACATATGGAGAAAATTTCTTTGTCCAAGAAAATGGTCGCAGGAAAAGGATAAAGTTTTCTTATATAGTTTTGTTGAGCTTTTTAGAAATGCACACACAAACACGCATACACCACAGAATATGACCCAACTTGATATATTAAAAGTAGTGCTGAATCCCAGAATACAACCATCCCAAATTAATGCTCATAGACATCAAGAGTGTTCTTGTCTATATGGAAATGCGGCTATTTCTTTTAAGATGTGTTTTCCCTTTCGCTCTCTCCTTATGTTGACCTATCACTAACTTTAGTTAAAACGCACAGGAGCACCCAAGTGTTACAGCAGTCTGGATTTTTTAAGCATAAAAAATTTAGAACCCCCATCTCCCCCTCTCTTTTTGTCAGTCTTGCTTTTCCTTTTTCAAAAATACCTTTAGCTAAGCACGGACACACGCGTCAGGTAGTGCGGTTCAGTTGTTGCCTCAGATCCCCCTGTTTGCGTGAGACTTGGAGCCCTCCCTATTAGCACATCTTTCTTCTTTCCTCAGGAAACCCAAAACAAATCCTGTAAAGGACGGTTTATATGGCATGCCATTAGCCATGGCATACTTGCAAAAGGACGGCCTCACCGGCCTTATTTTTCCCATTCTCATACCTTATCTTTGGGACTGGAGAATATATCTCTCTCCATTGCATTTGCCTTTGTTGAAAGCAATCGCCCGTTTGAAAAATCTCGCTGTGGCAATGAGACAGACCTTTTAAAAGCTTATCGCAGCTGTTCAAATACAACATCATTGTCAGGTTAAGAGAGACGGTGGCTCCGGGCTCCCTCTCCAATTTCTGCGTTGCTGCTGGAGTGTTTAAATTTCCTCCCACCATCCCCTCTCCGCACACACAGACACGTAGACACCGGGTTTTCCTGAACCCCTTTAAATTGTGGGTTCTTCCTCAGCCCTGGCCCCGGGTGTGGGCTGACAAAGAGGGGACACCACAACGTGGTGGTGCTCGTTGTTGTTGTTGCTGTTGCTGGTGTGTGTGTCTGTCTGTGTGTGTGTGAGGGGGGGGTTTTCCCCCTCCTCCTATTTAAGATCATTATCAGAGCCATTGCTAAGATTTTGTCTGAGCTGAGAAACAAACAAAACTGGAGGTCACGATGCGCCCTCTTTGGGGGCCCGGCTTTTTATGTGCTTCCCAGCAATTTCCCTTTCCCCCCCTCCCCTCTCCCCTCTCCCCTCAAAACAAGACGCCAGACAACCCACCGAGTTTAAAGCAACCCAATACTACTTTTCCCCCCTAGTCTGCAGTTTAAGACTTAACCGTGAAATCTGATAGGGGATTTTATTCCCATCAAATAGCCTTTCATAATCCTTATTTACACTTTAAGGAGTGTCCTAGAAATATCCCAATAGTAACATCTTCTGAGCTTTATTTCATTTTATTGTATGGATGTATGGGTTGCCCAGTTGTAACCTTAAAACAATAAGCCGGTCTCTCTCTGCTTCGCATCCCAGGGGTCTCTCCATTGTTTAATGAACTGACTCCGAAAACTCCCTTTAGGTAAGATGTTTTCCTAGATTTCAAATCACAGATATCTATGATCGCCAATTATTTTGCTACAGGAGAAAGGTACTGCAGTTCTTAAGGAATGTTTTGCTCCTGACCAATCAGTACTTAAAAAAAAAAAAAAAGGAAAAAAGGTTTTGAATAAGCATAGGCATTTGAAAAGGGCGGGGGGGATAAAAACCAAAATTAAAAATGGTGTGGCACATCTAGAGGTTGAATAAACATCTCTTTGGGAAATGGGTTACTTAGACCTCATGTGCTTAATGTCACTTCAGTTTTAAATCATATTAAGATGGAATTGTAGTAATTAACATTAATAAATAAATCAATATTGTGTCATAAATGAGATATACAGTCTACATTACTGCAAAGGGTTTTCTCTTTACTGTCCTATATTTTTTCTCCAATGGGAGCAGACCCCCCCAAAAAAGCTCCATTTATAACTCGATTACTATTTGCAGTAAAATATATGTTGACACTACCCTTTTCTGTCTTAATAAATAATAGCAAATAAAAACTTGGAGGAAAGTTGTTACTGTGAACTTTAATTTTAATCCCTCAAATGTACTTGACACTTGGTGACTGGACAAATTTGTTGTTGTTAAAGAGATTTCTTCCACCCCTTACAATTCTTACTGCAATTTGTATTTTCATCTCATTATTAAAGAGATGGGGGAACAGAAAGAGGCTACCCAAAGGTGGGAAACATGACATTGCATGAACACTGAACTGAAAATGGTGTGCTTAAAAATATTGCTCAAAAGAGTGGCATTTTTGAGAAATGGTGGAACATCCTGGAACCCTCTATAAATATTGCCTGGGTCCATTCATTTAAACATTTGATCTAGGGAGCACTTACAAGGAGAGTCCTTTTATTTCGCTTTACTTCTACTGCAGAACTGCCATATGGGAAAATATTTCTTTTAATTAAGAACCCAATCCAATTCCATAGGATACTAGGGCTTTTCTTCCCTCCAGAATGTAATAATTCCATTATTCCGTTTTTGGTGCCTCACATTCTTATTCAACATTCAAAATGCTTCTATTAAAACTGGGGGAAAGATCAAAGCATTATTATGTGGCCATAATCTCTTCATGATGCTACTGTAATGCTTCCTAACATAGCACAGTTGAATATTTTTTAACAATTGCTCGATAAATTCTGAACAGATAAATTCAACCGAGGCTTGCTTTAATTTCTCTTTATGCAGATATTTCTATAAAAGTGCATATATCTCTAAATGAAATGTACATCATCAACGAAATTCCCCTCTGAGGATTCATGTCTTGCCTATTGCTGATCAGAGGGTCTTTTCTACACGGAACCATCGAGTTCAATTTCAGATACCACAAGCCTTTATCAGGACGGGTCTGGCCAGGTTAATGTCCTTACAGCAGGGATCCTTCAGTCTCTCAATTCATCAGAAGCGCTCAAGAGATAGCAGATAATAACACTGGGGTTGCCTGAGTAGCCTTAAGTTACAGTTGTTTAAAATATGGATGCAGAAACTGCTTGGAAGCACACAGCCACAGCCACCAGAACCTTTCCTAGATTACAGCCAGCTGCTGCTCTAGGGAGAGCGAAATAAGTAGAAGCAAGTCTTTCCTGGCCCATTGAAAAACTCACTAGCCAAAAGGATTAGAGAACTGCTGAGATAAATGAATGAATGAATGAATGAATGCATGAAGGGATGCATGAAGGAAGGAAGGAAGGAATAAATAAATAAATAAACCTGGACTGGGTAACTCCGCAGAACCATTACACATACCTTAAGGCTCCAAAAAGGACAAAGCAAACATCTTAAATATTCAACTAATTTAATGAACAGAGTATATATAATACGCATATCGTCCCAACCACAACATTACATTTCTTTGAACAAGGCCTTTGTATAAATGGGAGGGGAGCGTTGGGGGGGGGGCGGATTAACAGTGTCGCTCCATCATCATGCGGCGTCTTACAAAATCTGCCTTATTTAACGGGGTGGGAGAGGGACCCACACCACACCAAACCCACACAATATTATTGCTCAAAATAGATTCATATTGTACTGCCTGGTTCATTCGGAATTTGAACTGGCAAATAATCCCTTCCTTTATCTTCCAAGATCTCGAATCCTTTCTGGAGAATTCGAGGTGCTGGGGGTAACAATGAACTTCTGAAAGGGTGGGGGAGAGATGGAAAGGAAAAGTGACCTTCGCTCATTTTACAGGCTTGACTTTGAATGTGCTTAGTATGTTGGGTTAGGCATCGCCTAATTATCAGTTCTTATTCTCTGGAAAGGAAAAGCGGGGAATATCCACCTCTGATCTTTGGCGTTTTGACTTAAAAGTGCTGCATTGGAGAAAAACTATTTGCCAATTAATTCGGTCAATTTTGGAGGGAAAATCCTCTTCCTCTTTAGCATATGTCTATGTGCATCCTTCAAAAACATATTTCTGTTTTTTCTACAAAATGAAATTTAGATTCCCAATAATGGGTTAAGATGGCGACATGGAAAGGAAAGGAGAAAGAAAAATAAAATCCTGCTTTTCTTTCTGGTAAATCCTGCCATCTTTTGAGGAAAGCATTCCCCAGAAAGCTCAGCTGCTCATTTTTCCATTGATTAAGATAATGCATTTTCTAAAATTGGGTTCTCCGCCTGCATTCGTTTCCTCAAGAAAAGCCCTAAAAATAAGGCATCTTTATAGCATTTGATAGTCTTTGGATGTTGCAATTGCCCTTAAAAAGAAACAACAAGAATTTCGTTATGATGGGGAAATTCAGGAGATAAAGTAACCCCTTTCTTAAAATGATAGCTTTAAAAAAATCCTATGCATTGTATTGTAAAAGATTATACCCAAAATATTTTTAAATGAAATACGTCTTGTTCGTGTCATGGCTACGAGTTACTTGTTTAATAAATCTTGCTTATGCTCTGTTTTCTCATTTTCCAAGCCCTGAAATCTTATAGTTGCTTATATATTAGATATTTTATTAGAAGCAGGATTATTAGGGGGGAAATACACTTGAACATCAGGACAATTACCCATTCTGGAATATGAGCGCGCCCTCTTGTGGTATTTAGCAGTAAAGTATGTATGGATTTATTTAATTTTTTAAAAATCCTGGGTGCTTTCTTCTTGTATTGCTAATGCATTATTCTGTGCTTTGAAAGGAAAAATAGCAATTTATAACAGAAAATTTTAAAAGCTGTAGTGAAATATTTTGGATTTATTCTATTTTAAAGTATTAATAGTTCTGGACCTTTTCTAATTGAAGAAGAGTTTGTTACTGGTAGTTGAAATCTATCAATACTGCAGATATTGGATAGGGAAATCACTCCTTTTTTTGCACAATTGTTTAAGGCATAGCAGAAGCTCAGTATCTCTGCCTTAATGCAAAGTACGGAGGGCTTGGTGATTTTCTTTTCTTTTTCCAGACAACTCAAAAGATAAGAATTAGCATTATTTGAATTGCCGAGAGACACAGACCAACATCCATCTTTAGGAACAACATTTTTGTGTAATCCACAGCTTACTGAAACCCATGAACTAATTACAATTTATTTTAATGGAGCTTGCTTGCATTTCTTGCATTTTCCTTTTTTAAATTTTTGTTAAGTTCATTGCATGTCATTGATGAGATTTTTGTATCAGAGCACCAAACTCCTTTAGAAAGAACAATCCTTTTGGGAAGAATGATATTTTTTGCCTTCTGAGGTGAGTGGGAGGAATAATATTTAAAATAAAATAAAGCAAGAGTTGCAAAGGAAAATTAGAAAACATTTCACAATAAATAACTTGTTAGAATGAGGGAATGTTTGGAAGGTTCCATCATAGGTAAGTATTGATAAAAGGAAGGCAATCATAATGCAAACTGACATGTGTGTTCTAAGGGCACTGATGTGGAGCTCTATGCAGTCAGAAGTGTGTTTGTGTGTGTGCACACACGTGCATGGTGTGTGTGTGTGTGTGTGTGTGGCGTTAAGAGAGGGGAGGGGAAAGCAGGAGTGAGAAACGGGGGAAAGGAGCCAAGAGAGTGGGTGGTGGTTGAAAATTAGAGAGGAACCTTTAAGGCTCCTAATTATTCAGAAAGGTTAAAGGTGATGACCTTGACATTTTGGAAGTTCAAAGGCATACACTTATGTTTTTCTTGCTTAAGAGTTTAAATTTTTTATTTTGGGTCCCTGCCTACTACAGTCTCCCAGGTTAAGGCTTAGATTGTATGTTTCCCCTCGCTTGATTCCTCCAGTTTGGCCTTTAATGGATGCAAAGAGAATGAGACCCGCTTCTTTTTTCTTTGCTTTTTTTAAGCCAAATTCTTTTCTCACTGGTCTCCTTTATTGCACATTGCGGAAATCTCTTTTTAGCCCACCAGAAGGTGTACAATATAACCCAATTAAGCTGTTTAGACCCTGGGCTTTTATGGTGTTGTCTAGACAGTTCAAGGTTTTGTAAACAGCTTAGCCAGGTCACGCAATATAAAAGTGGAAAGGAGGACCTCCACCAAATTTTTTCTTGGAAAAATACAGAGCTGGCAACTCAGTGCTAATTAGAGTTCTTCCACTAGTTTGTCTGTGTGTATATATGAGATGGAATAAGAAGAAATCACTTGCAAAACATTGGCTCTCTGTAGCCTTATTCTCCCCACCCCCGCCAACCCTTGAATAAGTTCAAGTTTTGGAGGTGAAACTTCCTGTTATTGGCATTGCATGAAGTCTACAACCTGCCTTGCTTTTTCTGTTCAAACATTAGTCATGGGACTTTATGCCAGGGCTACATACGGGAACACTGATGGGACCATCGTCATGAACTCCTTTCTTAGGGTATGATCCAGACCAAGTCGAAGCATTTTTAATGCAACTGATTACAACGACATGGGTCGACATGCATGCTTAATTCCCTCAGGCTGAATTAGGACTTACATTTGATTCCCTGGGGCTGGATCATATTTATACTTTTAAAGTTTGCCCTAAAAAGTGGATGGATCCCCTCTGGAAAAGGGAATCCCTGTTTCAGGGTAATTAAAGCTAAGAAACAAGGAAGAAGCACTTCTTCTTGGAAAGGTGCGGAGGGTCCTGCAGGCTGGCCCACACTCTGCTGTTTGTCAACCGCACGTGGCACCCACAGGGGCGAGCTTGTCTCTCTTCAGAGATGGCCTTGCAGGTAACGCACTCAGGAGGTCACAACTTCAACGGCTCGAGCAACCATTTATTCACATGAACAACACAGGGGCTCATGCTTGCATGGGACAATCGAAAGAAGCGATACCTCTACACCCGTGTATCGTTATATATCCAGGGTACATTATCAACAGTTCAACAAATGGGCAGAGAAGGGGAGCTCCCATCTCAGAGCCAGCAGGAGAAGAAGGGAGACCAAACACGGCTTGATCCACACGGTCCTTTTTAAGTTACCTCTATACATTGGCAGTCCACAGGTCTCAACCGTGAGAAAGGGGACGGGGAAAGCAACACCGTGGGTGGGTGTTTTCCTTTAATGCACGCACAAGCACTCTTCTCCCCCCCCCCCCGCACATGCATACACGCACACACAGCAACAACACACAACAACAAGGTTAGAAGGGACTGTTGGATTTACCCTATTTCCCCTCTGGAGGAGTCTGCTTCACCAAGCCCACGAGGTGTCCTGTAGACAAGGGCGGTTGGGAGAAACTTGAATAGATGAACATGGAAAAATAGAAACTTGCTATGTCCGCAGGGTGGATGTGCTGTAAACCTCTTGATGGTTGCAGTCAGATGGCAAGTTGGGCAGGAAGAGGGACCTTTCTTTTCTCCGCCCCTCTCCCCCGTTTGTCCTCTCAAAACAAGGGGTTCCCCGTGAAATACTGTAGGCGATCCCTGTTCAATTTCTTTTCTTTCATCCGTCGATTTTGGAACCATATTTTAACTTGTCGATCTGTGAGGTTCAGCATTCTGGACAACTGTAGTCTTTTCTCTTTGTTTATGTACACGTTGAAGAAAAATTCCCGTTCCAGTTCTCTTATCTGATATTTGGTGTAAGGGCATCTCTTTTTCCGAGATCTCTGGGGAAGTGCTAAAAATTCAGAAAAGAAAGAAAAGAAGGGCAAACTGATGGAAGTTGTCCCACTCAGACACTTTCAAGTATGGGGGACGTGCACCCTAGTCCAGACCTATTTCTTGAAAAGCTGCCTCCTTTCCAAAAGGCTCCGGGGGGAAACCAGGGGGTTTGTTCCTACTGTGCCCACCCGCCACTCCAGATAACTTTGGTAAAGTGCTACGGGAAAGGAAGCCCAGAAATAACATTTAAGGATGCAAAAGAAAAGAAAAGAAGCACAGTCGCGCTCTCTTCTTGAAAGATACACCCCTTTACAGTACTCAGAGGGTTTTGAATGGGTTCAGACTAAGCCCATCCGAGGGGATGCGCACAGACACCCACGTTGCAGGGAAATGGCTTGAGAAGGAATCCCACCTCTCTCTCCAGGCTGCCCCAATCCCAAGCAGACAAGATCCCTATTAAACAAGAAAGGACTTTATTTGAATTTCCAGCAGCCGCTGGCACGCCTGCCCCGGCACATGGCAAGCCCCGGTCTCCCAATCAGCCATTTCGTCACAATTAATATCCTCCTTCAAGAATCCCCTCCAGCCCACCTCCATGGGTTTCCTATCGTAAACACGCTTTACTACGGCAAAGGAAACCTTATAGGATATATAAAAGCACCCTTTGGATGCTTATAAAACCGCACATAAAAAGCACGCCCTCGGGCTTGACAAAGCGGTGGCCCGGGATCCCTCTCCGCCCACCCCAGGACCTCTCCCGCACCCCGCCGTCCCCCGCCTCGGGCTCCCGCCTCGCCCCCGCGCGGGAGAGGCTCGGCGGCGCCGGAGCCGGAGCCGGAGCCGGAGCCGGAGCCGGAGCCGGGCGAAGCCTGCCGCTCACCTGCCCCGCCGCTCTTCTCCGGCCCGGCCTGCCCCGAGGGGGACTCCGCGCCGCCCGCGCTTGGCACTTTCTTCTCCGGGCTCGGCGGGGGCGAGGGCTTGCCGCAAGTGCCGCCCGGGGGCTTGAGGTCGCCCTTGTCGCCCGGCGCCTGCTCCGGGTAGGGCGCGCCGCTGCCGTGGCCCGCCTCGTAGAACTGGTCGAAGCCCTGCGGGAGGATGCCGTTTCTGCCCACGGAGCCGTAGAAGTTGGCGGCGGCGGCGGCGGCGGCGGCGGCGGCGGCGGCCCCGTGGTGGGCGCCGCAGGCGGGGTCGCTCTTGAAGAGCACGTCGCTCCGGCGGGCGGGCGGCTGCAGGAAGTCCCTGCCGTGCATCACCTCCTCGTAGTAGCTGGGCGCGTAGCTGCCCCGGTAGGGCCACTTGCCGCCGCCGCCGCCGCCCCCGCCGCCGCCGCCGCCGCCGGCCGCGTAGTCCCGGAACGCCGCCACTTCGCGCACCGGTTGCACATGGGGAGGCAGATTGGCGGCGTAGGAGAAAGTCATTTGACAGGAAGGCGACTGGGGCAGGAACGGGGGCTTGCCGGAGAAATCCGAGGGGGACACGTAATAGGCGGCCGCGGCGGCGCACCCGGGGAGGTACATGTTGGAGGCCCCGCGGCTGCCGCAGTCGTCAAAGTCGCTCATGTCTCCCCTCCTTCCTCTTCTTCCTCCTCCTCCTCCTCCTCCTCCTGCCTCCTGGCGATCGCGAGCAGGCGGCGGCGGCAGCCAAGTCGGGCGCATGGGAGCCCGAGAGCCCCCATCTAACTGCACGAGGAGAGGCTTTAGGCAGGAGCTGCCCCGGAGAAGGGGGAAAAAATCCCACCGCGTGCTGACGTGCAATTCATCTTGATTGATTCGAGTGGTAATTATGTCACGTGACGGAGAAATGTCTTGGTATCTAGATCAGCGTCCCCTCGCCCGCCCGCCCGCCTCGCTCGCCTTCGCCCAGGCTGCGCTCCCAAATGCCCTCCAGTTCGAGTCTTCCAATTCGCGCGCACACACAAACGTTTGGATAAATAGACCATTTCCACCTCTCCCCCCCCCCACACTCCTCCCCCCTCCCCCCCCCCGCTTTCCCCACCAGGAGAGATGATGAGCTATCGGGAGGGGGGCGAGTCACCTGGGAGCGCCATCCCTGCCCGGATTCCTGGGCACGCGCTGCTCCGGGCGCCCCGGGAGCCTCCCCGCGGAGCCGTCCAAGGCAGGCAGGCAGGCAGGCAGGCAGAGAGGACATGCGGGGAACGGCGAGGGGAAAGGGCGCGCAGCTTGTGCCACCATCCCGTCTTTTCAGGCAGACCAGGAATCCCCCCCCCCACCCGCCGCCCTTCTCTCCGTGTGTGTTTAAAACGTAAGCAGTCGCCGGAAATGCGGCCAGGAAGCCTGAAGGGCCAGGAAGGTCTACGGGAGCAGAGTTCTTTCCCCTCCTCGTCCCTCTAGGCAGCCGCCAGCATTTGCCAGGATCAAGGCCATCCTTCCTCCTGATTAGATAGCTCGCCTCCCGGCTTGCTGGCTGCGCGCTTCTCTCCGGCCCCCTCCCCCTCCCCCACACATCAGGGCTAGTTGGCAAATGTCCACGGAGCAGGAGCAGGACCTTGCCCGGAGCCCTCGCGGCTGAGAGGCGTTTCCTCCCACAGAGCGAGGTTCTCCCTGCTTGATCTGCGAAACATGTCCCCCCATCTCCAAACTCTCGGGGGTCATTGCCCGATTTTCCTTTCTCTTTCCAAGATTATAAACACTGTACGATTTGGGGGTGGGGTGTAAAAGAGAGAAAGAGAGATGGAGAGGGGATTAGAGGCAGGGAGGCTATGCACCGCTTCTCGGACTCTCCAAATGGAGATCCTTCACCATCGCCTTTGGCCTGGCAGGATACGATCCCATAACATCAGACATCTTAGGGTGGGGCGTGCCCGACCAAAAGCATAACGGTCTGCCTCTAAAAGCCGAAGAGCAGGGCTTATCTAGCCGGAGCGATCATCCACGTCACGTGAAGGGGAAGAAGTGGGAATTATTCTGTCTTTGAGAATTGTTTTACATTGCAGACACAGAAGCGCATTTTCCACCTTAGCCTCATCGCGGTGTATTCGAAATGGCTTCATCTCCCACCGCCTCCCCCGCCCCCCCCCCCGCGCCCCGCTGCCGCCTTTCCGACGCATTCAGGGCGCATAGACTCAGGGAAGGCATCAGTCAATCGACGCACATCGAGAAGACCCGAGCGAGCGAGAAAAAGCACATTCCTTCCGACAACAGGTAACATTCAAACGTCTCCCCCTCCGATTCTTTCTCCCACCCCGGCTCTGGGACAATGTCAAGTTTAAGCCCACGACTTCGCTTCTCGAAAACGCTCTTGGAGCAAAGCACAACGTCTTTCTAAAAGCACCACGCTCACAAGCCAAGTTTCTCTCTCCCCCACTGCAGGGACACCGCTCATAAAACATAGAAAACAAAACAAAACAAGATATTTAATATTACGACCCAACATACGGAGAATACCATAGGAAATATTCTCGCTCTTATTTTATTCACAGAACAAAAGAGAGAAGGTTGGCGGGTGGAAGAGGAAAGAAAAGAAAGCTTGAATTTTCAGGCCACACACGTGAACTTCAGAAGGAAAAAAACCTTCCCTGCTCAACGCTGGAAGGTGCTGCACCGCAAAGTCCTTGGGAAATTCGGCTGAGATTTAAAACGTTATGGTGACAATCCTGCGCCTACTGAGACGGCTCTAAAAGTCATATTGAAAGCAACAGAAGCTCTAGTGGGTAAAATGCGGGGGCTTGCGGCTCTCTGTGCGTGTGCGTGTGCGTGTGCGGAGAGAATCCAAGGTAATGTACACACACAAAGAGGAAGAGAGAAACAGAAGTTTTGTTCATTACGTTATATGAATCCTATAGAATATATGAACATATAAAATCAAGGCAAGGTTTGTTGTCGCAGATGAATCGAGAATGACTCAGTGCATCACATGCAGAAGGCGCGCGCGGGGGGGTACCTCTGAGTTGGCACCCGCAGTGAATAAGGCACCATGCTTGTTTTGTGCTCAGCTAAGAAGGAAGCCCAGAGAGAGGGTGGCAGGGGCGCCTACGAGATACCTTCATCCTTCAGTCTAGCCCAGGCGAATTCCAAATCTGAACCCCCTTTCCTGGTCTGGCACAGGAAGGCGGGAATGACCCGGCTCCCCAGGACTGCCCAGACCTCCTCCAGCGGTCTGCCCGTTGCCCCTGGGTGCCTCCCTCCGAGCTTGCTCGCTTGCATGGCGCCATTAACGTCACCGCACCAACCGCGCACTGCACAACCGCATCCGAACCAGCGCACGGACCGGCCATCCCGGGCAGAAAAAGAAACGAAATGCGGAGCTACCTCCTTCCCCAGGGGTGCCCGTGCCCGGCGTCCCCTCGTGTTCGGGGCTGCTGCAGTCAGTGGGCTCCCCCCCTCCCTCCCTCCCTCCCAAGCGCTGCCCGAGCAGCCAAAATGGCCCCTGCATCTCTTGCCGCAATGGCCCCAAGGCAAGCCGTGCAAGGGGAAGGCGCCCCAGGAGCCACCCAGGCCCCGCACGAAGCGACCCCGCAGAGAAGCAGACCCTTCCAGCCCAGCCCTGCCCCTCCCGGCCCCCGCGCCGCAGGAAACCCGCGTCGACCCAGTCGCCCCCACCCTGGTGCCATCTCTCCGTGCGGGACCCGGCGAACCCACTCTGGCGCCTTCGCACGGGAGCCAGCGCGGCGGCACCATTTCAAGTTCAAGGACGCGACGCCCATGTGCAAATGCGGGGGAACCCGCGGGGGTGGGAGACACCGTGCGCCACCCTTGCAAAAGACCACCGCGCGCCTCCTGGGGATGCCTCTGAACCCCAGCCCAAAACACCCCGGGCAGGGGTTCCGCTGGCAAAAGAGGCACCTCGGCGCCTTCGCCTGGTCTATCGCTCCTAGCACGCAGGGAATGCGATCAGAATTCGGGCTTTTCGATAGATGCGCACGCCCGGCTTAAGGTAGCTGCGGTCTCCTCTCCGCCGCCACCGCAGGTAACGCGAACGAGCCCTCGCCAAGCGGAATGACATCCCCGACTTTACCGTTCGGCGTCTTGCAAGCTCCGCCGCGGCTCCTCGGAGCTCCTGGACGCAGCCGGTCCTCCGCTCCCGGTGACATCTCCAAAAAGCCTCCGTGGAAAATAGGACGATTCGCAGAGCATTCGGAGGGAAAGAGGGAAAACCATGCCTCGTCCGAGCAGAGAAGGTGCTGGATTTTTGTGCCACCCAAGACAAGACACTAACTTGACCTTAACTTTGTTATGGCGCCCCAAGTATCTGGAGAACGTGAACAGACGCTGTCTGGTAGCTCTCGTAAAAACTGACTGGAGAAGCGATTCTGAGTCATTTCATTTATTGCCACTACAGTGCTGCAAGAAAGCTTTTCCTCCCTGCCAAACTTTGATTATGCATGCTCTTTTAGAAAACACAAAAGCGCCTGGAGCCATTTAAAACAATCGGAGGGACCTTGCTTTTGCCTTATCAAACTCGCAGGCTTTGCAAAAGCGGCCGGGCTTAGCCTATCAGAGCGAAGGACCGCTCCCCGACGCCAACAGGATGCGCATTTGGGACTGACTCCAGGAAGAAGATGCATGCACACATGTGTGTCCCCCGACGAAGCCGTGCGATCATGGCTGGGCGTGTTTTTGTGTGGGAGAGCGAGAGAGAGAGAAAGAACGCGCATTATCTACCCACACCACTCTCTCGCCCTCTCTCTCTCTCTCCCCCCCCTCTCTCTCACACACACACACACACAGGACGCCGTCACACTGCACCACACCCCTCTGTTTCTCTCTTTCTCCGGAAAACGCACGCAGGGAAAAGCGCCCATGCGAGACGCGTGTGGCACCATCGGCTGGCACCGCTGCTTTCGCTATTGCAGGTGAAAACAGAGATCATTAACGGTGCTGCTTTTAGTCAGGCGCGCGGAGAAGAAGGGGACACAAAGCCACGCATTTTAAGCCAGGGTCAAGTTCCAAAGCGATTCAGGGCGGGGGTCTTTGGCACATTTACCTGGGAGGAAGCTCTGTTGATCAAAAAGGGGCTTACGTCTGGGTAAACATTCATGGACCTTCCAAAAAAATACATTTGGTATAGAAAGTGCGTGCCAAAGCATTCGACATTCATGAGGGGGGAAGGGAATTCCCATGGATTCAACAGCGTGTGGGATGCGACCTTAGACAAAGGTCTGTGTATGTGGATGCGTGGATACATGGCATCATATGCGTTTCTATATAGCATTCCACACAACAGATGTGTAAGTTTCGTTAAAATGTTTTGGCATTGTTCTGTCACAAAGCAGTCAAAACAATTCCGAATCTATTGACCTTTCTCACCACAAGCCCTTATAGAGCTTTATGGTGAATAGGGAGGGATAAAAATCTAATAAACAAACAAACAAACAAACAAACTCCTAATCCCTATATATAGAGTCCCTGCATGCCTCTCTGGCTCTGAATTCTAGTTACCTCCAACCTACCCATTATCCTTTCTCTGACTACAGATACATCTATGGCCATATTCGATTTGGACATACCTCTGTTCACAGCAAAAAGGGGGATCGTATTGCAGCAGCTTAGTCATCAAAGCAACGAGGTCTGTGCGGTCTGGGAAAAGCAGTCCGCGCACTTACTGTGTGCTCGAACCCCTCAAAAGGATCGCCTTTTTGGCCATATCAAGGCTGCTCAGTTAAGCATATCTATTTTGCTAAGCGAGTTAAAAAATACGCGGATATGCTACAGCCAGAGACTACAAAGGAGGTGTGCATTCTCCCTCTCCCCCTCCCCCCTCTCCCCCTCCCCCCTTCATGCGCCTGCATTTCAGGGTGAGATGCTGCAGCTCCGTGTTCCTCCCCAGTTGCACCGCCACTGCACTTAATAAGCAATGCAGTGCCATCTCCACATTTTCAGCTGGTGCACCGCAGTGCCGCAAACCCAAACCACTGAGCATCTAAAGGGAATGAACACAACGGAAGGAGGAACAGTCACTGGAGAACAAAAACAAAACAAAGCTGAGGCGCCTAAGCAGGATTTTTCTTTCTGCTCTTCACTTTCGGGCAGAAAGACTATTTGATAGGTAAATCCTCTGCTAATGCTATGGAGAACAACCTTAATATACGCGAAAATACGCTTTGTTGGTATAGTATTGGATTTTTAAATTCAAACTAACTTTTGAACATTTATTTACTAGCTGCCACTGATTATTTTTAAATAATTCCCCATTTGAAAAAATGTGTTAGCCTTGAGAGCACTACCAGAATCTTACTTCGCCTGATGCGCATGCCTCTGAGTTGTGGAAGAGAAACATTTGTAATAGCGGGTGAAAGTGACACTGGTCAGCGTTTATTTACAAGTTGCTTCCGTCTTATTCTTAAAAAGCGTATCTATCACTTTCCAGGCCTAGCTTGTTTATATTTTAAAGAATCATGAAATATTTATCATAAAATGATGACATGAAATAAAAAATGATATCTTTTGTTATTTCTGCTAGTTGCTTTCATGTGTTTTAAAAATGGCAGTCATTTATAATCAGGCTCAATTATTTTTTCTGATCAGAGTAACAGGATTGTTAGATATTCATTTTAAAGCCAACAAATTGAAATTTTACAATACAAACATGTTTCTTCCTATATAGAAATCATTTTCAAGTTGGAAATAATAATAATTTACGGTTAAATAACACATCATCACAAAACCATATGAGAAACCTCTTGGACTGGATTTAAAATTCAAAATTAAAACGAGTGTTGCCATTAACACTCAGGATTCAGAGATTAAACAAAAGATCTGTTATAATTCCTTTGTTATCTTAGATTATGAAGACAATGGCACGGTTTAGGAATGGAAAGATGCTGAAACCGAAAAGATCAAAATAATTCTCCATCAAATGTATTACTTTATAACTGTAGGGCTGAGGGTGGAGTCATGCACCCAAAGCAACATGATTTCTCCTGAGTGAGAAAGCTATTTTTGATGGGAGAGTTTTACTTTAAAAATCCTTAATTGCTGCTCTTTTCTTTGCTAGGAAGCCACACACATTAGTCTGCAAGATCAGCAAACGAACGTGCCTGTCCACCAGAACTTCGCGGGTTCCTGTGTGCCGAAGGAAAGGTGCAAGGGGGCGAATCTCGAAATAGATCCTTGGCCAACTGTGCTTAAAGCTGCTCTCTGGGAGAGAGACCGAGGCCAGGGCGGGGGGCGTCTGCCTGAGTCGCCTCCTGGATTCCTTTGTGCGCTTCGGCCTTTCTTTGGCGTGTAGATTTTGGGCAAGGCCAAAGTCAAGCTAAACGGGAGGGAAGGCTGGAAACGGAGGAGGCCAAGGAGAGCGAGAGAGACAAATGGCAGGCGGCGGGGTGAAGGTTGGGGGAGCCAGGGGGGCAGGCCTCGCCGTGGGCGGCGGGAGGGGACTGCGCCTGTCCAGCCAGGCGGGGGCACAACGCGGCAGCCTCGGGGGCTTTGCATGTCCTCCTCCCCAGAGAAAAAGCCGGGATCCCAAGGACAACGTCTCCTTTGCGGTGTTTCGTTGCTCGCCAAGAAGGGCGGGAGGCCCACGGAGATGTCGCTTACGGGTACTCGCGTGCACGCGCACGCAGCACACACACACACACACACACACACACACGCACACACGTGCATCTCCTCCGCGTACGTTGCCAGAGGCCCTTTTGGGTGGGCGCGGCCGAGGCGGACTCCAGGGACCCTCGCGGAGCGGAGGTCAAGGGCAGGCGTGGGAAGGGGGTTCGTGGGTCAGAAGGAGCCAGGGACTCTTTCGAGGGTGCCAAAAGGCAGGAGAGGAGGCCTTCGCCTGCCCGCCCCTGCCCGCCCCTCCAGCGCAGCTGCGGTCCGGCCCCCGAGGGATTCCTGCCATGCGTGTCCTTCCGCTCCGACGTCCGGGCCTTCGTGAGCTAAGTAAGATCCGAAGGGCGCGCGCCGGATCGCAGCAGCCCAGCCCCCGCGTGCTCTCGATCCCAAAGCGCAGCCTGCTCCCGAGCAAACGCACAGAACTGAGTAGCAGTGAGAAGTTTCGCTTCTACCAAGCTCTGGAAGAAACGCGCGTGCCTGCTCCATTTTCTGCACTGGCCTTCCTCAGCCTATCGCTCTTCGCATGTTGGACTACAATTCCCATCATACCCCAGCCAGCATGGGGGTTGTAGTCCAGCATATCTCGAGAATGTCAGTCGGGAAGGGTGTGGAACGAAGATTTGCCTCTGGCTCCTCTTTTTCTGTAGTTGAAACAAGGCGCAGCCGGGGCTCGAGGAAGGGGGTTCGCTGGAGCCACCGCAAAGCGATCGCAGGGGCCCAGTCCCCACAGCCAAGCCGCGGGCAGCCCTGGGGCAGCGCGAGGGTGCTCTGGCGAGGTGCGGGAGGCAGGCTAAAGCCCAGCCTTGCTTGGCAGATCAGTGCCTTCGGTGCGCAAGGACGGGGCTGTACTTCAAAAAAAAAAAAAAACAAAAAACAAAAAACAAAAAACAAAAAACAAAAAACCAAGATGATGCTGTTGCTGTTATTATTAGCATCATTTAAAAAAAAAGAAAATGTAAAATGCCTTTCTTAAAAATAGTCTTGGTTCAAACCATCTGCCTTTCCTTTCTTCCCTCCTCCCCGTTTGTTTTGCACTAACAGGGCAGCCCTGTTAGTCTCTCGCAGCGATCGGCAGCCAAGTCCTGGGGCTCTTTAAAATCGAACACAATTGGTTAAGCGCAATCTTTCGTGGGCTAGGCGAGGAATCTGACGAAGGAAATAGTATAATTCGAGAAAGATTATGCATAAATAAATGTGCTAGTCTTTAAGACTCTTTGTTGTTTCAACCATTTGTTGTTCTCTCTCTCCTCTCTCTCTCTCTCTCACACACACACAGAGAGAGAGAGAACTGCAAACCAGCTGGAGACAAATAAGGATTAAGTGCCTTAATCTTGATGCAATCATCTTCGGGCATCTCCCTTCCAACCTCTGTCACACACGATATTATACCTTTGCAAATGGATATTTCTAGGCAGTTCGAGGCGGCAGGCTGCCTCTCAGCGCCTTCTTTTCCTTCAGACTAAGGAAGGAAAGATAGAGAAGGGAACGGGTGCTAATCGCAAAAACCGGCAGCGAAATTCCACACTGCTGCCTAGCCGTAAGTGCCACCGCGGTCCATGGGTCGTGGTGCCAAGTGGGTGCCTTTGGGACCGCAGCCTTATTTTTCTTGTTCTTATTTCTCTACCCGCATTAGCCAAGAAGAAGGAGTTTTGCCCATTGGCAAAGCCCCGGCGAGTTTACGAGGGAAATGCGATCGTGCGGTCTGGCGCCCTTTCAAAGCTCTCCCCCAGATTGTGCCCGGCTTTCGCCCGGGGTTTTGCTGCTGCTCCTCGCTAGCCCAGAGGTAGCAGCTCCAGAGGCAAGTTCACGATGAACAGGGAAGACGACCCGCCCAGCCCCCGCGCCCCGCTTCCCCTCCCGCTCAGTAGAGCGACAGCGCCTGCTCGCGCGTCGCCGCGCGTTTCTTTTTCATCCGCCGGTTCTGGAACCAGATCTTCACTTGCTGGTCGCTCAGATTCAGTCTGTGGGACAATTCCTTCCTCTTCTGTCGGTTAATAAACTCACTGAGAAGAAATTCGCTTTCCAGGTCGGCGATCTGTTGCTTGGTGTAAGGTTTCCGCTTCTTCCTCGACCTCGCCTGCGTGGGGCGCCAGGGCAAACCTGCAAAAGACACGGCGAGGCGGTTGTCTCGCTTGCCCAGGGTTGGCCTGCTGGGCTTGGGTTCAAGGAGCCACGCGCAAGCCCCGAAGCGGCCGGTTTGGGCGAGGAGGAGGGCGGGGCGGGGTGGGGAGAAGGCCTCGTCTGAGAAAGTGGATTGGGAGGAAGATCAACGCGGGCCGCACAATTTAGCCCGGCTGAGCGGTCGTGCAGAGACCTTCCACACGCTCCCTTGGGGCGCGAATCCCCCCCCCCCCCAGGCATGCGTCTGCAAGGATCCAAGAACGGAGCTGCGGCCTCAGCCCCACTTCTCTGGAACAACTTTCCCGGGTCTAGACGCCGTTTCGATGGCTTGGACTAGAACTCGCACCCGGGCCGCCCCAGGGCCAGGGATGGGAGTTGTAGTGCCACGCATCAGAAGGGCGTCGGGCTGGAGAAGGCGACCCCAGGAGCAGATTCCCAGGACCTCTGTGCAGAGGACGCGCGGGCCGGCGCAGCCCTTTTATCCGGGAGCGTCCGCCGAGCGTCCTCGCCAGGATCCACCTCCCGGCCAGCCTGCAGGCGGCAGCCTGGGTGGGGGGGTCCCGGCCTCTGTCGGAGGCCGGGCTGGGGTGCCACTGGCCGGGGGCACATAGGATGAAGGCGTACCGTCGTGCAGGGAAGCTCTGAGGCCGGGCTGGGCGGCTGCCGGCGGCAGGGCCGGGTTCAAGTCGACGGCGAGCCTCAGGTCCTCCTGGAAGGCCGGCGCGCAGCGGGCCTCCGCGCCCAGCAGCAAGCCGGGCCAGCGCCTCCGCGCCTCGTGCTTGAGCGCTCTGCCCGGGCTCGCCAGCCCCGCCGGCGCACTCGCCGCGCCGCCGGCGCCGTGGGGCGAGGCGGCTTCCTTGCCGCCGTGCTGCCGTCTGCCTCCGTCGTCCGGCCTGGGCGCGGCTGCGTGGGCCTCGTGCTTGGGGTAGCCGTCGAAGACCTCCTTGCGGCCGCTGCTGCTAGGCAGGGAGCCCGCGGCGGCGAGGTAAGGCGCAGGCTGCGCGGAGCCGCTGAACGCGTGGCTGGCCGCCGGCTGGGCCGGGCACGACGTGGCGCACGTCCACGCGAGGGAGCTGCGCGGGTAGGAGAGGCCGGGCAGCGAGGCCGCCAGCGGAGGGCTTCTGCTCGCCCGCAGAGCGGGGAAGTAAAAGGAGTCCGCCGCCGCGGCCGAGGGCAGGTTCAGGAGGGAGCCCGCGTAACCGGGCCGGCACAGACTCCGGTCGCACATCCCCGACGAGGGCGTCCTGCCGCTCTTACAAGCGCCCCGGGCGGCCGAGCCGAAGCGCCCGAGACGCCCGGAGGAAGCCTTCGCCCGCGGCCGGTGCCTCCACGCGCAGCATTTCCAACGCCGCCGCCTCCTCCGGCCAGGGTAGCAGCAGGACTTCTGGAAATACGGATCCAGCAGAATGGAGAGGAGGAAGAGGAACAAGCGGGGGGTGGGGAGAGGGGAAGGGATCGTCTCCAGTCATGGAACACGGAGGGAAACTGGACGGGGAATGCCCTGGTGGCAAAGTTTTAGAAGACCCCCTCCCCTTCCCCCGTCTCAAGCCTTCAACCTGCAGAGCCATTTCCTGCTCCCTCCCTTGTCGGAGTCGATTAAGATTGGTTCTACGTTCCTGCCTCCTTCGTGGCTTCCCTTATGATCCTTAATTCTTCCAAGAATTAGCCGAAACTTAGTGATCTGCACACCTAGAGAGAGAAGGCAGTACAGAAAAAGGACTCTGCTCCTGGGCAGCATTAAACGGCCTGCGTCGTGTCTGCCCTCCCCTGGTGTATGCCCTCGCACAGGGTGAGGATATTATAAACACTGAATAAAATGTGTATCAATACGACTATCCGGAGAAATGGGGACTCATCTCCCAGTGGGAGGCTGTGGCGAGCTATGCACGCTTCTCTCTATATTGGGCTACTCTTCGTGGGATTCCGTGGCTCCTTTTGTTGAGTGGGTTCCGCATCTTTGTTCATTTGTGAAGGTGCAGGAAGGACGGGGGCCCAGACCCATGAGGCGGTGAACTTGACTCGGGTGTGCTGGTGCAGACAGGACCAGGCAGTGAGCGAAGCCTCCTGCGTCTTTCCTCAGAAATAAGAGAGGCTGGCTTCCAGGTAAGCGCGCCGTGCATCGCAGGCGTTTCCTGGGCAGCCTCGGATCTCACATGAGCGCAGCCTTTCAACGTGGTAGATGCTGCACGTGGCTTAACCCATTCTGAGGGTCTGTGCGTCCTGCAATTTGTGTGTCACATATTTCACAAGTGTGTAAGGCAGATAAGCTCTATTCCGCATGGCAAAAAATAGCCCCATTTCTGAACAAGTAGGATGGAAATAAGTCCTTATTTGAGTGAAATGTCTCCGTCCTTAGGAACAAGCTGGATAGAGTCATTGCAGATCCTAATACATCTAACTGCAATCTTCTGCTAGTTTACCTAGCGGTAAACCCTAAACAGTTCGTGCGGTATATTGGAGATTCCTCCCTACTTAAAATGGCAAGTTATCACCTCTGCGCACTAGCATTTCTATTAAAAAGCGATGAATGGCCGCTTGGCCTGCCTTGTCGGGAGTCATTCTTTACAACAAGCTGGCTGCTGTAAAATAAATAACTGAATAAATAACTCCTTCCAAAGCTCCCTTTAAAAATTACAATTCCCGAAAAATGACTGTTCTTTAAGACACACGCAGGCTCATAAGCAGAAGGCACATGGCTCTCCTTTGAAACCGAGCCACCAAATTTGCAAGCGCCGCATGTAGAAGTGGATTTGATCTGATTTGGAAGCGCGTCCCTCTGGTTCGCAGGGGATGAGAAGGCGGCCCGGGCGGTGGCAATGCTGTCCGCGTCTACTCCAGAGGAAATCCCACTCTCTTCAGCAGGATTTGCACTCGGGTAAGCGTGTGTCCAGGTTTGCAACCGGAGTCTCCAAGCTGCGTGCGAGTTCCAAGGACAAGGGGGCGGCGGGGGCGGCGGTCTGCGGCCTGCTTGTTTTGAAAGCGAGGACTGCTGGTTTCGAGGAAAGGGCCCAGTGCTTCGGCGAGTGGATCGGCGACGAATCATAGAGAGCCCACAGTGATGACTGAGAAACGATACTAATTTCTACAATTCAATCGGTAAAGCTCGTCTGTTCAGCGAGAAGATGGAAAGCACCTTTGGATTGATTTCCTTTGCGGACAAAGTCAAAAAACAAAACAAAAAACAAAAAAAGTGTGGGGAGAAAAAAAGAGTTTCTTGAAAAAACAAATAAACAGAAAATCTTTGGAAAAAAGACAGAAAAGCTCTCTCTCTCTCTCTCTCTCTCCCCCCCCCCTTCTTTCTCTGCCCCTCCTGAAGTAGGAGGATTAAAGCTTTCAGCCCTACACACACTTTCCTGGGAGGAAGACCCCATTGATCGCAATGTGGATTACTGCTGAGTAGACATGCATAAGGGCTGCGGGATTAATAATTGTACAGGCTGTACCCAAAGGTCGTCTGTATGCACCACTAACTGCGCAAACCTATGCAAGACTACTGAGAAGCAGCGAGTCGTTTTAATTAGTCTATCACAATATTGGCGATTTTTTTTTAAATAAGAATTTTCAAAAAATAAGAAATTCAAGTAAGATAAGAGAAGTAACCCGCACAGGGATAAGGGTAGCTCTGGGGGCGGGAGGAAACTCTTCAGTTCGCCAGCCGCGCGAAGTTTCTTATTTACTGGGGAGACCGCCCTCGCCGGCCCCGCCGCCCTGCGGTCCGCGGCCCTGCGCTCCTACGCTCCGTGGCTCCGGGGCAAGGAAGAGCGCGGCCCTCGGCCGTGGGAACCGCCTTTGGCCCGCGGCCTCTGCGGCGGGGCCCGTGGGGCGCGAGAGCGGGCGTCGTCCGTCCCACGAGGGCTCCACGCTTCTCTTCGGGGCCGGGCCCTGGTCCGCTGTGCCTTGAGACTGTGCTCCCGAAGGAAGGGAGACGGTCGCAAAGCGGGGCCGGCCGCTGGCCCCCGCCGTGGGTCGGGGCAGCCCTGCGCGGCGGGCATTAAGCCGGGCTCCAGCGTCGCCTCGCAGGCCGGCGGAGCTGGTGACGGGAGGCCCGGCTCTCCGGCCACCCACCTGGATGCCCCGGGGCAGCGAGGCCGCGCGTTCAGCCGCCTCCCCGCCCGGGCCACGCACCTCGGGCGCAGCCCCGTCCCACGCGCGTCCGCCCGGAGGCAAACCCCATTGTCCGCAGCGGCGCCGCTCCCGGGAATGCGTGCGCGGGATTGCCGGGCCGCCTCCTCCGCGCCCTCCGGGGAGCCTCTCGCGGGGAGCCTGGAAGACCCTTGGCCGCTGTGCTCGCCGTGCTCAGCCGCGGGGTTTTCCCGGCGCCATCGGAGAAGCGGGGCCTTTCCCCTTGCCTTCCGCGGCCAGGCTTCCCAGCCCTGCCTGCCGTCCCCCGCGGCAGGACCAGCCGCCCCCCCCCCCCCGCCATATCGCTTGGCTTTGAAATAAATCTTGACATCATGATCCGGCAGACCACACACGCTCCGCCGGAGGACATAGCCCGCCGCTGCGCCGAATTATTCCTGGTTGACTTAGACTCCCCCTTATTAATTAACTCGGGCCTTTGCCTTTCTCCAGGCCAGGGTTTCGCTCTGGCACAGCCTCGCACGGCGACAGCTCGCGGTGCCGGGCCAGATCGCCTCCTCCGCGCCTCCGGAAGGAGCTCGCACGGGCCGCGTCGTGCCACGGCTGCAGCCGCTGCTCTGCTTCCTAGTGCGCTGGGGTGGATTTTGCAGGGACGCTCAGAGTAAGCCCGCTTGATGCAGCGGGACAAACTGCAGAGAATTTGCGGCCCAGTTCCGTGCTTAAGCAAATGCCACGGGATTAAGCGCAGCTTCGAGATAATCCTGCGCAAAACCTTGCGGCCTTAGGCCAGGCCTCTTTACGTGGGCGTAAGTCCCTCTTCAGGCAGGAGGACTTGCTTCTGAGTAGGCACGTAAGGCTTGTAGTACAAATGGAGTTCACATCCGCGCGGTGTTCGGTGTCGGTGTCTTTGTGTGTCCCTTTTGATACAATGAAGAGGCATTTCCAACAACAAGCGGAGCCCACTGCTTAGTAGAAAGTGCGTAAATGACGATTCCCGGGGATCCATGCCTACACACCCAGTCGTGTTGCACTTCGGGGATATGTCCTTGCTGAGAGCATACACTTGGAGCCAATCAGACTTAATGAACAATCACGCAGCTTTGGCACCTTCGCTGCAAGTCTGGGAACTGGTTTCAGCAAAGCGGAGGACTTCCCTAAATTGATTGTATTGATGGGAGAGCGCGAGGGGGGAATAGAGCCCCTCTCCCTGAAACCACGGGGATGCGGGTTCTTTGCCGATGGGATTCCAGGGCACTTCCTTTTTGTTGGATCCTGCGCTGGCATTTATCCTAAAAATGCAGATGAATCCTTTGTCACCAGGAAGTCTAATTTAGAACTGATTGGTTCTGCCATAATTAAGGGCTTGGAAAGCAGGAAAATATACTGTATATTCCACATTTATGTTGGAATAGTAAACATAATCAGCATGCTGGATCACATTTTGGATCCAGCCAACGGCCTCCCCAGTCTACTCGTATCACGCCCAACTGCTGCCCATGGGAAATCCATAGCAAGATAGAAACTCAGCCGCATCCTCTTTGCTTGCGATTCCCAGTATTTAGTATCACTCCTAGGAGGGTGTTAGGTAGGATTGCAGCCTCTCTCTTCTTCCCTCCCACACACAAACACATGTAGGGGAGAGGAAGAAAAGAGAGATCCGAGGGGGGAACTGGCTGCGCCAAAAGCGATTCTGAATACAGACCCTCCTCTAAAGAGCCCAGAATTGCCTAGTGTTGGTTCTGCCTTATGAAGAGCCCTGCCATGACTGTCAAGCTTGCATAACCCAACAGATGTTTTTAAAGCAGAAGAGATGCTTTTTGGTATTACTGCTATGACTCTTTTACTTCCAAAGTGCATTGAATCACAGGTGTGCAGAGCAACCTGGCACACTTTTCCCCAGAAATAAGTCCTGCTAACTTTGGAGGGCCTTACACACCAGGACTTTAAACTTAGATTGCAATTGGTGGCGGGCTTTACATCCTAACAGACATGTTCAGACTCCAGTCTCGGAAACCTTCCCGCGAAAATATTTTCCAGTGCTCTCAGGAGGCCTTGGTTCCAAATCAATTAGTGACAGAGGATAGACAGGGGGTGCGTAAGTTGCAGGATGAGGGGAGGGGAGATTAGCTCTGCTTCACTTTGCTGTGT